TTAAAGAATTTTACTCTTATATTAATTTAATACTTATAATACAATGACGTCATCCTTTTATTTTAAATTGGATGACGGGTCATATTCTAGTGTAAATATTATCTTGGTATTTGCTATTAATTTTGTAGCCTAACCATTGATCCGTAATGAAGGTTCCAGAAAGCAAAGTAAAATTAATAGCAAGTTAGAGAGTGATCCAATAGATGAAATTAATAAATAGTGAATAATATCATATAATTGACATTAAATATTAGAGATTACTATATTAAATGATATTGTGGATCAAAGATATGAATTATTCCTTGTCAAATATCTATATATTAATTAATGATAGAAAACCCATAAGGTGAAAACAGAATAACAGATAATGAAAATTCAACATAAGTAAAGAAATTCCATCATGGTTAAAATCTTTTAATAAGAAGTTATTCTACAAATATTAATAAGAAATATAAATGATAATGAGACAAGAAGGATAATGAAAGATTAATATTAATTATAGATTGAACGGTAAGGATAAAATGACTTAGGGAATTAATCCTCCAGATATAATTAATGAATAAAAAGTGTACCAGAAAACCAATAATTAATAATGAATAAAATAATCCATAAAGAATATCATAATAATCATGAATGAATAACAAATACATGAAAGATATTAATGTTAAGATTTTTATGGAAATATCATTTAAATATAGAAATGACAAGAGCTACAAAAGAATATAAATATAAATGTAAAGTAATGATTAATATAAAGATAAGAGAATATTATTATAAGATAGAAAGATGCCTTAAGTTATAGCAGTGAATTATAATAAAGAAGGCATTAAGATAAAGAATAATATAATATAGAAGTAATATATGGAGAAGATGGTATAGCTCCTGAAGAGAATAATATATGAATAATCGTGGGTGATCAATAATAGATTAAAAGGTGTACCTAAGGGGTTATAGCAGAGGAAAAAGATAGACGTTTATTATTTTAATCACCTATAGATCTAGAAGGTAATATTAATAGAAATTATTGATAATGGATTCTTTGTAACTTAAGGAATAAATAAAACAGAAAGAAATTAATAAGAGTATGAAAATAATGGCGGAGTGACCATAAACTTGAAATTAAGAATCAAGAAATATGAATAATAATAATGGTCTTGAATTCTAATAAAGAAGAGAATAAATGAATAATAGAAATGACCATTGAACATAAATGAATAATCCTCATAAATTAAGAGGACCTATTTTCCTAGATTTAATGATAATAAGTAATAAATAAATGTAAAGATTTCTATGAATTAGTTGACCAAATAATAGATCATTAATTAAGATAATAAATAATAATATGATGAAATGAAATAATATGGAGAAGACATTCATTAAAATAGACCATTGTCTAGAATTAAATCATCATATTAATATTGGAGATTATATTTCTTTTCTTTATTGGTTCTTGCTATCTTGAAGATCACCTATATATTTTATAGCATATTATTGGCAAGGCAATCCATAAATAAATCTCATAATAAGAGAGTGAACAACAGCCTTTTAATAATAGAATTTATGGTTTATTGTATTTTATTTATCCTTCATTTATATAAATCAATAGTGGATTATAAGATTAAAAGAAATAACCAATAAAGAATAATATAAGTGAAGTGGGATGAGACGATGAATCTTAAGAAATACCATAATAGATGTAAAATAAGAGATATATATAATGAAATCTGAATAGAATGACATGTGGAAGAAATCCATGATTAGAAATCTATTATTTACTATCATCTTTGGAGAAGAAATTAATAATAAGAATAGACCATGAAATCGGTGGCGTAACCAATATTATCCCAGATATAATTTATATATAAATAAGATGATAATAAGATATAATAAAATAATATGATGTCAACCAATGAATGTTAAGAAATGAATTATAATGCTATTAATTTATTCAAAAGACACTTTAAAGATAGATGTCTTATATAAATGAAGTGTGAGAGAGATGAAAATAGAATATCGGTCAACCAAGAATCACCTCATCCAAGATTATAAGGTTATAAGAGAAGTGGAATAATATGATTAATGATATGAAATTAAAAGATAACAAGAGACAGATAATAATATATATTCTAGATAATAAATAACCCATAATAAATAATATAAATGTATGATAAAAATAATAAGATGTCAATAATAATTTCTACAGATAATAATAATATGATGTTAATGAACGATTAGAAGAAATAGATTGTTAGGCCATAAATATTTATTATTACTTACCATTAACTTGTCAACTTATGGATGAACTGCTTCTAAGGGAAGAAATAAATAATGAAAAATAACAAATAATACACTAAAATTAATAAAAGTTGATGATAAGGAAGAATGCAAAGACAACTTGTAATTTAAAGATGAAGGATCTTGTGGACCAACCGTTAACTTAAGAGATGAAAGCAAAAGTAAAAAGAGAATATTAATAATAAGGTTTCTATCCGATTCATCATATTATGTCATTCATTAAAGATATAAGAGTTAGAGAATTTATTGTTAATATAAGAATTAATGATATTTGTAATCGATTATTAGAAGATATGAATGCGAATAAGAAATCGCGAATGCAGTTTATAAATATTAGATAAAAAATATGGGTTAAAATATGTAGGTGATGGACTGTTCGTATGAAATCCTTACAATTAAATCCTGATGTTGGAGAATAAATTATAGCTGTGATTGATAGGATAAAATAAATTCTTGAATAATAAAAAAAGGGTTCTTATAATTAAAAAGAGTTTTGGAAACCGAATAATCGATTAATGAAAAGGTGGAACAGCATAAAATAAATCCATGAAAGACATTTCCAAGATATGAATGATATGGATGAAGTAATTCCCGATTTATTTATTCATATTTATTCCCTAAGGATTTCACCTATAAAAAGCTTATGACAAGTAATAATATATTTTCCACCAATAGTTTTTACCTGGGGACAAAGGATAAAAGCATGAATGAATTATAAAAGCAGTTCACCAGTCAATGAGCTGTTCTATCTGGAGGTTTACTATCTCTTTTTATAACTAGATCTTGGACTATAAGTCTATCCTATAAATGGCTTTCTTTTTAGGCGATTGCTCCTTGCAATACTGAAGAAACTTGGGTTTTGTGGGAGAACTCCTATTTGCGATCGATGCTAGACTGCGAAGCAGAAGTCTGCTAGGTACCATCGTCTTGATCTTTCAGCGCTTGGGCTGCTTTATCAGGATGAGGTCCTGGATGACATGATTCAGGATCTCCAGCTTGATCAGAATGGGAACTTTGGGCAACATTTGGCCGATTTTGTCTTGGAGTCGCTGGAGAAGCAGCTGCGGGAGGTCAGCGAAGGTTGTCATGCAAAGCAGCAGTTGGACTCGTGGCATCATTCCTTCGAAGCAGCCAGGGCAATGTTGAGAGGCCGCCTTGCTCTGAGCAACAAGCTCAATCAAAAGCTGGGACTTCTATCCTTCTTCAGCGACCTCATTCCCTGTCTTCTCCTCCACCCCGGGGGCGACCGCATTTTGTGCCAGCTTCTGTCCGAGGATCCTCGGAGCCGGGGAGGACTGCAGAGGAAGTGCTTGAAGACCTTGGCTTCTCAACTTCGTGATGGCTTCCAACCTAATAGCAATGACCTCCAACCTAATAGCGATCGTTCAACAGTCATTTGCAGTGCTCGGATTGCTTTGCAGCACATCTTGGAAGATATTCTTTGGCCGTTGCGACATGCTCGGGACGATCATGTGGCGCGAACCTTTGAAGATGTGGTCACCTTTGTCTTGGACATCGTGGATAATCATGGCTTGTTTGCGGGCTGCTATGATGTTGTCACGCCTGCCTTAGGTGCGTCAGCAGTGCAAGCACTGCTGGAAGTGATACAGCAAAAATTGGACACTCATCCACAACTGATTCAGCTCTTCAGCAAAAGCTTCAGTCATCGTGTGCAAGGCTGCAGTTCACAGGTGGAGCTGCCGCTGTCCTTGCATGTTTGGATTGAGTGGCCGCAGCACGACAGGCAGATGATGTCAACTGACCTGCCAAACTTGTTGTATCTCGCTTTATGCACTCCTGTTGGCCGCGAGTTGCTCAAAATTGCTGAAGGAGCTCTGGCCAGATTTCACCTGGACAGAGCCTCGAGCAGTGGAACAGCATCTGGAGGCATCTCCTTTCCTTTGGTGAGATCGGTGGCATTTTCTCATCTCCTCCTGGATGAAGTGGCAGCCATCGTGGCCAACGGTCAGTGGACCTCGGAGGAGGCGAAAAACATCCTGCAAGATCTTTGTAGCTTGGGGATCAACACACCAGAGATGTTGCTCTTCTTCGATGCCCTTGTTTCTCATGCCGGTTCGACCGCTGCGGCCGGCCGCGCGCTGCGCCGCTTGCTGGACGTACGCTCGCCGCACAGCAACGCGGAGCTGAGCGACTGGGCTGGTGCGCTGGAGAAACCGGAGAGAGGCGCAGGAGGTCGAGAGCTGAGCAATCGCATCGGTGGTAGCATTGATGCTAGTCATTTCAAGGAAAATGGTCACGATATGTCACAAGCTCAAGCTCGGCTCAGTAAAATCACTGATGCTGAGATGCTGTACACTCTTGCCCCCTCATACATCTCGTTCTTAACTCTAGTTGTACTTGATCCCATCTTTTGGATCCAGACCCGATCGCGAAACCGAATCGTTCAACGCCCGGCTTCGCTCCGATCGCCCAGGTGTCGGCGAGGACCCCTGGGACGACCTGCCGGTGAAAGGAATGCCGGGCTACGAGGATGAGAAACGTCGGAGACAGCGCGAAGATCAGGAACAGGAGCGGCTGGATCAACTTCAGGCTGGGGCCATTTTGTGCACGAAGATCAGGTTCATCATGGTTCATTCATGTTCATGCAGGTTTGGGCCGAAATCGTGTGACACTCGTTTGTGATTGGCCGATTTGGACACCTTCCTTCAAAAGTCGCACTCATGCTTTTATGGAATTGGACCACCCTGACTCCTGAAGGTTTCACAGGGTGGGAGACATTGCCCCCACTGCAATCGAGTGATCCAGCAGAATGGCGGCTGTGACCAGATGCTGTGTGGAGGCCATGCTCACACCAACCCTTTGCATCGGGAAGGTTGTGGCCGTGAATTCTTTTGGTCGCAGGCCCGTCCCTATCAACCCAGTGTGCTGGAAACACGACAGCCGCCCGGATTTTCCGCCATCGCCACCTGGCTCATGGACACTGATGACTTCATCTCCGATGTGGCCGACCGTGCTGCCGAGGTGGCGTTGCATGGCTTGGCTCCGGCGGATCGGCGCTATGCCTTTGCCAATGCAGCAGCCTGTGTCCTGTTGAAGCGTGGCCAGCAGAAGCCCAACTTGGCCCAGGCACTAATGTCCAAGCAAAGCCTTCAAGCGACGCTGGGATTTGAGGATCCCAGTCTGGTTCCAGTGGCAGGGATGCTTTGCGATGCCTCTGCCGTGTCTGCATCCAAAAGCCTGACTGCCAGTCTGCTGCTGGGCCGTGATGGCTGGGAAAGCACCGTGGGCACAGCTCAGAAGCTCCGAAATACGGTGGTGAACCTGCTGGTGGCAGTTCTGGGAGGTGGAAGTTGGTTCGTAGCTTTTTGTTGTTGTAGTGGCTACTGGCTACTGTATAGAGCTTTGAGGATTTAAGGGAAGTCAGTTCAGAGCCACACTGTGGGTCCATGACGCAATTTTGTGAGTTGCTTTTTCCAGAAACCCTGATCATTGGAGCCACCTTCAGGCCCCGACAACAATCACCTGAGTATGCTTTTGCTGAAACCCTTGCATATGATGAATACCTTTCCTGTGGGCTTTGTATTTGGAGAACTACCAGGACCCGAAGGCTATCATTTCGATTGTGGTTGTGTGCTGGACCAGCAAGGGCGTGCCTCTCGCAACCGACCGCCCTTGGAAAACACCCACCTTCACTTTGTGGCTTGCCTCGATCCGCGTTTGATGTCGGATTTTCATGATTTTTCAACCAAACAGAAGGCTCCTTTTCCTCGTCCGGTGTTTCCCCAGATCACCGGTTACCTGTGATTGCTGAACCATGCAATGGCCTCGGGCGGTTGGTGGAACGAGGTGAACTTCTGCAGCTGGGCGATGCTCTCGGTGGGACTCCTGATATTCCCACAAACACGCGCGCAGATCCAGGAGGTCTTGACGCTCAGGCGGGGCGGTGGGTGGGAAGGCCCCAACGTGAGAAAAAGAACACAAAGCCGGACCCATTGACTCTTCATGAACAGAAAGCATTTGCAGAAACTTTCGGAAGATGAAAGATATCATAGAGACTTACAGTAGACTTACAGATTGCTTCAGATTGCTGTCAGAAGCTGTTTGCAGCGATGTTTCAGGTACATCCGAGAAGTCGATCCTGAGGGGCTTAGTGATGTGGCCGACGTGGCTTGCAGCTATGCCATGAACTTTGCGCTTCGCTGCTTCGAGTGCGTTGGACTGTGCCAGCAGCTTCCGGAGGATGATCGAGCCCTGTGCTTCTTTGAGCTCTTCCACCGGTTTCGTACCTGGGCTGACATCATTTTTCTGCACATCTATATTAATTGCGCGGGTTGAAGCCTGGACAGCTGCATCAAACGAAAGCAGCTTTCTGCATCCTCAGGTCAGCGTGCAGTTGGACTCCATCCTGCACTTGCCAGAACCTTTGCTACATCAGACACACGGCATGTCTATGAGGACGAGTGAAACAATTAATCAACGGATTCTTGCAGGCAGAGGATGACCACAGAATGATGCCCCGGAGAAATCCTCCGACGTTCTTTGATGTGTTTGCTTTTTGTTACCTTTATTTATAACAAGGTCTAAGGAGGGTAATCAAGATTTCCGTACATTTGGAATGGCTGGGGGAGAAGCACGGGCAGACTCTGGACCTGAACAGAACGCCTACTCGGTCCCAGGGTTGCCATCTTTTGACTCTCCAAACGCTGCCCCCACTCACGCTTGTTTCTTTCTTTTCCACTGCTTTGGCCAGGACTTCTGGAAGACCCTGATCGACCAAGTCCTGGAGGAGCTTCCGCAACTCCGGGAGGAAGTTTTAAGAACTTCTCAGGCGCGGGCGCGAGCGACAGGCTGAACGATCCAAAAGGGTTTCATGGACAAAGCACAGGCGAAAGAAACTCAAGAACCCGCACACGACATCCAGAAGTGAACATATTCCCAAACATGAGAATGACTTATGGACTTATGGATCCTGCATACTGGTCAAAGGCATGCTAGCTGAATAAGCAAAGGGCTGCCGGTGCACATTGGCTTGAACTGAATTTCTCAAGACATGCATGGTCGAAAGGATTGAAATATCCCCGGAGTTGGGCAAGCAATACTTGCCTAGGTCAAAGGTTGGAATATTGGTGCGTCGTACTGGTCAAGTGTGGCGTCGTACACGTAAACTAGAGCTCAAAGCTGGGCTGGTGTGACAGTGACAGTGTTGGGCCAGGCTCAAGAGCAGCTCTTGCATTTGCAGGAGTTCAGAGCCTCCAGGAGGGAGGGAGGAGGGGATGACTCGCTTCAGGTATGAAATACCTGGTATGATATGTGACATGTTAGTGTGTCACACGAGATTGTTGCCGATCCCGTCGCGGTGTCGTGGCCATCCATCTCAAGGGATCGCTTCACATGAAATGCCATGAGACTCTGGGGGGCCCTTGCGGTCCAGATCCTTGCGGTGCTTTTGAGAGATCAGAACCGTAAGGGGATTCCAGAGTCAACCATCGTTGTGCCGGAGTGTGACTGTCAGTGTTCTTGCGAAGCCCCTGAAGTCAGCCCTCGGTTTCTCGGCATTGCCTGTGTTGGTACGCTGGTGGTGTTTGGAACTGGTCTGTTATTAGGTATCCGCTTCTCCAAAGCGGTGGTGCCGGGAGATGGCAGATCTGAGTTTGGAGGGGGTCGGCGACGTGGAGGAGGAGTGCTATCGCAATCTGACTAGTGGCAGTAGAGTTTTGCTTTGGTATAGTGATGACCATGTTTGGCATGAAGCCCTCATCGGACTAGTGCTGGGTGGGGAGCAGGTGGTGATGTATACACCAGACAAAGACCTGTATATTGAGAGCATAGGTTGCAAGGGGCTTGAAGGTCCAATCAGATTGAGAGGCCTCAAGCCAGACCTTGGACTGCCCAGTAGGCTCCGAGCTCCGGCTTACCGTTTCCGAGAGATCATCTCAGACACCTTGATCAAGCAGGTTTTTCGTGACAGCGTGAAGTTGGCTGAAAGAGAGGCAGGGTGCAGTGTGGCCTTGCCGACTCACATAGTGAACCATGCTGGACAGCGGAAGACACTGGAAGAGTTTTTTGGTGGAAGCTTTGTGAGGAGCCGACAGCCAACCCCAATTGGCAAGCTCGACAAGTCAAGTGACTCCCCAAAGAATGCCGTGAAGGTACAGCCTGCCCTGGGTGACTTTGTTTGGCTGGCAGCAGAACCTCTTGGAGGATTGATTCTCGGTCAGGAGGTGAGCTTGAATAGTGAGACAGGCGTGCAGGTAGGCACCAGCTGTGCCTTAGCTCTGAGAAAAGGAGTTTGGGTGAAAGTTGACATGGTGAAGCTCTCTGAAGTTGAGGGCTATGCAGACAGGAGGAGAGCTTTGTTTGGTGTTTCCTCAGCCGCTGGTTCTGGCGAGTGCCCACAACCTGGGAAGGGAGGTGGGGACGATGAAGCTGTTGGAGAGACTGCAGGTTCAAATGACGTCCGCACTCTTTGGGTAGACTTTGATGAGCATGGTGACCGGTACAAGAGGTGGAGGGATGTCTGCAAGGAGAGCTACACACCGTCTTTTGACCAAACTCCCCTCGAAGGGCCAACGACTGGTCTTCACTTGATCAAGCATGCAGAGCGACATGGTGGGGACCCTCGTTTGTGGATGCAACTCTGGTGTCGCAGCAAACACATTGAGACCACTGACAGGACTTTTCATGAGATGAAAGTTTTGGTGGATGCATTGTTTTTTGCAGGCACTTTTGACCAGGTCAACATTCCAGCCCTCATGTCCATGGAGGTGGTGTGTCGCCGCATTCAGGCGATTGTTGATGCTTACAGCAATCCCAGCCGTCCTTCATGGGAGAACGCAAAGATTTTTGCAGGGCAAGGCACTCCAGAGGACATTGTATCGCCAACGTTCCGGAACTATGCCACTCGCAAGAACAAGGAGGAGCTGGAATTGTTGCAAGCTCGCCAAAAGGTGAGGGAGCTCAGAGGGGCTCCTGCCATTGCCCAGGAAGAAGGAGATGCAGCAGAGTCACTGCCCACAAAGCCAGCCCCCAAACCCAATCCGAAACGGAAGGGTGGCAAGGGAGGGCAGGGGCAGACTGATGGTTGAGGATTCACGGCAGGTGACATTGGAGCCTTCGGAGATGTTGCCTGATGACCAGTACAGACAGGAGGCAATGACACAGCCGGGTGCAGCGGCGGCCTTCAGCTTCAAGCAACGACGGCTTTTTCCTCTGCCCCTTTTTGCATGCCCCCCACGAAAGTTGGGGACGAGTCGTTCTGTCCGCCAACGACGGGACCGAATTTGTCGAGCCTTTGACAACTGCAACGAAGTAGTCAGAGCGCTGAATTGGCTAGCTGGAGAGTCTGAACCACAGTCATCAGATTTTACAGTTAGTGCAATGCAGCAGCAGGTTCTCTCGCGTGTGGAAGGTTTGGTTTTTAGCCAAAAGCCCAGTGGCGACGAGATCATGAAACCGGAGGAAGCCTTGAAAGTGCTTCTCCGTGGTGGCTCCCCCTATGACATGGGCGTCATCAATGATGCAGTGGCCTCCTACCAATCTGAGCTTGTCAGTGTTCCGCAGGACTGTCGAGGTTGTCCTGACCTTCGTGATGTCTTGCCTACTGATGACCGTCAGTACCTGGAGGAGAATTCAGAGCTGATGTTGCGGCCAAAGGAGGATAGACCTGAGCATCCTGTTCAACCTTACTGGGACCCAAAGCTGCGCTACAACCGGAAAGCGTATCATGGTCTTGTTAGAAAGTTGAACGATATTGGGTACTTCACGTACACCTTGGCACCTTTGAGCAAAGTTGGAGTGTTCTTTGTCTGGAAATCAAACCGAACGAAGCTGCGCTTGATTACAGACTGCAGACCAACAAATGAGATCTTTAGAGAAGCTCCGGGTGTTTCTTTGACAACAGCCGAAGGTTTTGGTCGGATAGAAGTTGAGCTTGAAGATGACTGCTGGGGGGATTACAAACTTCTTTCAGCCGTCGCAACATATGTTGGGCTCAGCGACGTCCGCGACTGCTTTCACCGGATGCGAGTGCCTGCGTGGCTGAGCAGGTATTTCGCTTGGGAATCCGTTCCTGCTAGCGTTCTGAATCTGGAAGGTACAACTCTTGAAGGAAAGCTATTGGGGCCGCGTGATGCAGTCTTCCCTTGCGCTGGCAGTCTGTGCCAGGGTTTCTCTTGGTCTTTGTATTTCGCACAGAGGGCCAACGAAAATGTGTGCAGATCCGTTGACACCTTACAGCAAGCAGTTCTGACACAGGACAGAGGTGGGCCAGTTGTTTTGCGGTTGGGTAAGGAGCAAGCAGACAATACACATTTTTATGTTTACGTTGACAATCTTGGGGTGCTTGACACTGATGCAGCTAATGTGGAACTAGCTATGCAAGGGCTGCAACAGCATTTCAACTCTCTTGGCTTGGAGCTTCATGCAAGTGAAGTGAGCTGTGGTGCAATTGAATCGCTGGGCTGCATACTGGATGGAAGCAACCTGAAAAGTGCTGTCAACCCAAAAAGACTCTGGAAGGTGCATCAAGCTTTGACGGGCTTGCTTGGGCGTGGACGCTGCTCTGGCCAGGCGCTTGAAAAAGTTGTGGGACATTGCACCTTCTGCTCTCTCATGAACCGCAGAACGTTGGTCTGTTTCAGTGCTTGCTATGCTTTTATACATGCTCGGTACAATGAGGTTGCCACTCTCTGGCCTTCTGTTCGAAAAGAGTTGGAGGCTTTCAGAGGTTGTCTGTTTTTGCTTAGTCAAGACTGGTGGCGACAGTGGAACAGAAATGTGACCAGCAGCGACTCCTCCTTAGGAGGCTTTGGATGCTGTCACGCTTGGTGGCCGAAGACAGTGGTCGCCAAGGTTGGGCGAGTTCAAGAACGGTCTCGGTTCAAGAGATCAGCCGGGCATAGTGCTCGAGAAAGTGCTCTGACGGCAGCCGGGTTTCACTATGATGGAGCAGCCTGGGGTCGAGTAGACCATGTGACTGCAAAAAGACTCTGCGAACTTGGATGGGAAGTCGACTCTTCTTTTGAAGAAGTTCCTGCTCGTTTTTTGGGTCGCAGTTTTTGGACTCCTCGATTCTGGGGGAAATGGAAGCATGCTGAGCCGATTGGTGTTTTAGAAGCTAGAACTGTTTTGAAATGCATCAAACGGCTGGCGCTCACTCGATTCGGTCATGATTTGCGACGCCTGCATCTATGTGACAACTTAGGAGTAGTCTTGTGTTTCGAGCGAAGTAGATCCAAGAGTTTTAAGCTTCTTAGGATCCTCCGTGAGTTCTCTGCATATTGTTTAGCTAGGAACATCCATGTAGCTGTACGTTGGATACCCAGTGAGTTGAACATTTCAGATGAGCCTTCTCGGATTCACGATGAAAACTCGTCGAAGCTGTTGGTTGACCTCCTGGATGATTTTGTTGAACCGATTTTTTCCCCTCGAGCACCCCTCGCACAGCAAAATGGGGCCGAAGAGGACTCGGTCTCTCACCTCAGACAGCAGCCATGTGACAAACAAACACACACAGCTGCAGCGGAAAAGGACGAGGACGTTGAGCTTGGGGAGAGATGCTCTAGAGGCCACACCGACAGACAAGAAAAGAGTGAGGTGCCTAGACATGGAAACTTTTTGGCAGAACAGGTTGAAGGAGAAGAAGGTGAAGGGTTTGACACTGCCCCTCACCGAATCAGCCTTGCAGAAACTGTCAAGTCTGGAACCTCGCCGGCAACGAGAAGACAAGGAGGAGCTCGAGACAGAGACTTCGAGCACTATGTCAGAGCTCAAGGAAGAGCCAAAAGGAAAGAAGAAGCGTTCTTTAGAAAAGCGGCCAAGAAAGCCGCTGCAGCACTTGGTGGATGCCCAACTTGGAACCGGAATGAGTTTTTTGGAAGCGGCGGCAATCACCAAGAGAGTCAGAGAGAGATACAACAGAAGCCTGTCAGCTCTCATGACCTTTCTGCAGTCGAACGGCTTCAACTTTTCAGTGGATCAGCAGGTGGATACAGGCCTGGTGAAATACTTCGAGATGAAGTTCACGGAAGGAGAAGGAAGTCATGTGGGAGACTATGCTTTGGCGGCGCTCTTGGATCGCCACCCGGAGTTTGGAAAGAATGGCTTCCGCAAGATCCCTCATGCATGGAGAGCTCTGAAAGGTTGGAGGAAACTATGCCCATCGAGGTCTCGATTGGCATACCCTCTGCCCTTGTGGTGCGGCATCGCATGGAGAATGATTGCTCGTGGACACCTGCAGAAGGGAGTGTTCAACCTCCTGCAACTGTCTACGTACCACAGGCCCAGCACCCTCTTGAAGTTGAAGAAGATGGGACTCGTGCCTCCGACGTCTGGAGTCACGGGAACATGGAGCATCCTCACTTCGTTGACAGAGACTTCAGACATATCAAAGACTGGGACGAAAGACGATGCGGTGCTTCTGGATTCACCTTTTCTGGACTTCATAGAGCCGGTGCTGCGACGTCTAGCCAAGGGACCTCCTTTGGCTCCTGTCTGGACTTTCACGTACCCGGAATACCTGGAAGTGTTCAATCAATGCGCCAAGGACTTGAAGGTCGAAGTTGTTCCGTACCAAGCCAGACATTCGGGACCAAGCATAGACTATGCTGCGAAACTGAGGACTCTCGAGGAGATTCGCAAGCGCGGAAACTGGGCAAGCCGGAAGAGTGTGACTCGGTACGAGAAGGGAGGGAGGCTGGCAGCAAGTTGGAACCTCCTATCCCCTTCAACCCAGATGGCTTGCAGGTCGGCAGAGCGTTTTTTGCGAGAAATCGTACTCGGCCTCGATTACCCCCACATTCCACTCCCAAGTGGGGAGTGAAGGGTCAGTATGTGGCAGACTTTTTTGCTGGTTCTGGAAGAGTTGCACGGGCAGTCAGACGTGCTGGCTTCACATGTAGAGAGTGGGAAATCCTCACGGGGCCTGATGCTGATCTCACCCGTCCAGCTGTGCTGCAGAGTGTAAAGTTTGACATCGACAAAGGTCGTATCATTGCAGCTATGCTGGCGCCTCCATGTTCATCCTTCAGTGTGGCACGAGACAGAACCATGGTTATCAGAAGCAAACTTTTTCCTTGGGGCCTCCCTGACCTTCCTCCTCATGAACAAGACAAGATACGTGTTGGTAATTGCTGTATACGGTCTACCCTCAAGATTATTTCATGGCTTGACTCATGGAGACTGCCTTGGATACTTGAGAACCCCTACACCTCAAAAGTGTGGTATTTGCCTCCTCTTCAACAGTTGATGAAGAGCGAACACGTACACGATATTGTTTGTGATTTTTGTATGTTTGGGACACCTTGGAGAAAAAGGACTCGTTTCCTATGTGGAAATATAGATCCTGTTGACTTGGGGCGGATTGACAAGCAATGTGTTGGAACGCATGGATGCTGCTCTCGCACTGGTCGTAGGCATGTGCAGCTCACTGGTTCACACAAATGCGGGATCCCGATGACTCGTCATGCTCAACCATACCCACATCGTCTTTGTCATGGTCTCGCACATGCACTGGTGTCGTCGTACATTGTGATCCCGTCAATGTCATGACTCTGACGCAGGTCAACTATACCAGCAGCAGCAACAGCAGCAGCTTACAAATAACAACAGCACCCCCCCTTTCTTCCCTACCCCTTGTTCACATGGTGTGTTTTTGGATCCGAGTCGTGCTCAGTCACTCCTGGTAAAATTTCCATGATTTGGGACTAACTCAGGTGGTGGCCAAAATGGCTAAGACGAGCCCCTGT